AGGGTGGTGGGGCGGATTGAAACACCCTGGAATCCCTGGAGGCATGGAGCCAGGAGGAAGGTAGCCAGTCGCAGCGGCCGGTACTTGCAGAAGAGAAGGTTCCCGGTAAGCGGCTTTTTTTCCGGGAAGGAATTTTTTTGGTGTGGGCTCTTTGGGAGAGGAGGGTTAGGCATGCATGCCTAGATGTGGAATAGTGCATTGATGTGGTTTATCACATCGCGGTAATCGACCTCGGTAATCTCTTCGAATGTCTCATCCAGAACGTGTGCAATGCGCTTGCGCAGATTTATCAGGAGAGCCACTGTGGTCCTTGTCCCAGCCAGGCTAACGTGTCCGCGCCACTGTGCCGCGAGGGGCGGGGGGACCATTGCAGCACACAGGCAAGCTGCATATGGGCCAGGGCGGCAGCCGCATTGCAGTAGAAGACCCTCCCTTGCTTCCCAGGTCACCCTCAGCAGCGAGATATCGTCCAGGACGAAGTCCTGTGGAAAATGTTGGGACAGTGTTCAGTGTAGGTGCCCCCTGCAGCTGTTGGCTCTCCCCAAGGCACAGAAACCCAGAGGACAGTACAGCCCTAAAACAATCAGTCCCCCTTACTCACCATTTTGAGGCTCCCATGGGTTATGTGTGCTCTGTTTGGGACGGGAAAATTATGCTATTGTGTAGACCCTGTGTGTGCCCTCCTTAAGTGCGGGGAAAATCATTACTCTGTCTGCTATAAACAATGCTGCCTCTGTTAAATGTTGCATTTTTCCTATACAGCTGCAACAACCTTGAGACCTCAGCCGTCCCTTTTATCGCCTGCTCAGAGACTGCAAAGACTCAGGAAGAGACCGCAAAAAAATCAAAGAAGACATGCTGCAAGAAGTGATGCGGCAATCTATTAAAGAGAATGAAAAAGCACAGAACTGGCGGGAGAGAGAAAGCAGGATCCGCCAGGAAAACACAGCACACCGGCGGCAAAGCACGGAGCACCGGCAGCAAAGCACGGATCGGATCATAAGCATTCTGGAGCGCCAAGCAGACGCTATCCAGGAGCTCGTAGCCACGCAGAAGGAGCAGTACCGCAAATGCAAATGCCCCCCACCCCACAGCCCTTGTCCCAAAACTCTTTCCCTTGTGCCCCACTGTTACCTCCAACCCACTTTCCCCAACTTCCGGGTTCTTCACGCCACCAGCTGCCTCCAACACCAGTATCTTCACCATCCAGCCCTGAAAATCACAACCCTTACCCTCTGCACTCAACCCCCATCACCATGCAGTATAGCTATCCTGAAGTGCAGCACTCACTGCACAGCACACCAGACAGGACATACGCGAATCTGTCATTGTACCGTTCCCCATTCCACCCCCTTGCCCTTTCTGATTCCCAAGCAGTTGTGTTTCTTTTAAATAAATAAATTTTATTTTCAATAAATGGATTTTTTGGCTTTGAAAACATTCTTTATTATTGCATAAAGTAAAAGGTTCCTTAGCCCAGGAAATAAACAGGCACTGCAAGTCTGCTTAGCAAACACTGATTCCTAAAGACTGGAACTACTGCACTTCACTCCAGTGCAGGGCACCAGATATCACTGCTGGTTTTCAGCCTCAAATTGCTCCCTCAAGGCATCCCTAATCCTTGCAGCCCCACGCTGGGCCCCTGTAATAGCCCTGCTCTCTGGCTGTGCAAATTCAGCCTCCAGGTGTTCAACCTCGGAGGTCCATGCCTGAGTGAAGCTTACACCCTTCCCTTCACAAATATTATGGAGGGTACAGCACACGGATATAACCGCGGGGATGCTGTGTTCGGCCAAGTCCAGCTTCCCTTACAGAGATCGCCGGCGGCCCTTTAAACGGCCAAAGGCACACTCCACAGTCATTCGGCACCGGCTCAGCCTGTAGTTGAACCGTTCCTTGCTGCTGTCAAGGCTCCCTGTGTAGGGTTTCAAGAGCCACGGCATTAACGAGAAAGCGGGATCTCCAAGGATCACAATTGGCATTTCAACTTCCCCTACTGTGATCTTCCGCTCTGGGGAAAAAGTCCTGGCCTGCAGCTTCCTGAACAGCCAAGTGTTCCGAAAGATGTGTACGTCATGCACCTTTCCTGGCCAGCCTGTGTTAATGTCAATGAAATGCCCACGGTGATCCACAAGCGCCTGGAGAACCATAGAGAAATACCCCTTCCGATTAACGTACTCGGATCCTAGGTGGGGTGGTGCCAGAATAGGAATGTGCGTCCTATCGCCCCTCCACAATTAGGGAAACCCATTTGTGCAAAGCCATCCACTATGTCCTGCACGTTACCCAGAGTCACGGTTCTTCTGAGTAGGATGTGATTAATGGCCTTGCAAACTTGCATCAACACGATTCCAACGGTCGACTTTCCCACTCCAAACTGGTTTGCGACCGACCGGTAGCTGTCTGGAGTTGCCAGCTTCCAGATTGCAATAGCCACCCACTTCTCCACTGGCAGGGCAGCTCTCAATCTCGTGTGCTTGCGCCACAGGGTGGGGGCGAGCTTCTCACACAGTCCCATGAAAGTGGCTTTTCTCATCCGAAAGTTCTGCAGTCACTGCTCGTCATCCCAGACTTCCATGACGATGTGATCCCACCATTCAGTGCTTGTTTCCTGAGCCCAAAAGTGGCGTTACACGGTGCTGAGCATGTCCGTGAATGCCACAAGCAATTTTGTGTCGTACGCATTACGCAGCTTGATAGAATTGTCGGACTCCTCACTCTCACTGTCACTTTGGATCTTAAGGAATAGTTCGACAGTGACATGCTGGCGAGACTCGACAGCATACGCCTCAGCAGTTCGGGCTCCATTTCCCGCAGACAGATCACGCTACACAGAAACCGTTGAAAGATGGCGCCAAAGGTGGACGGAAACAAAGGGATTTCTGGGATGCGAAGCGATGTATCACGGGGCATTGGGAGAGGACCCAGAATCCCTCGCACCCACGCCCCCTTCCCACAACCCACAGCGCCAGAATGGGAAGAGGTGCTCTGTGGGATAGCTGCCCATAATGCACTGCTCCCAATGGTCCTGCAATTGCCGCAAATGTGGCCACGACAGTGCGCTGGGCAGCTGTCAATGTGGACAGACTGCAGCGCTTTCCCTACTCAGCTGTAGGAAGACAGGTTTAACTCACAGTGCTGTACAGCTGCAAGTGTAGCCAAGGCCTATGTTAACACATTCTTATCACTGACACCCTTGTCCTCCTTCTCCCATCCCTCTTAATGTTTGTCACACCCACTTGTTCTATTTATCTTAGGGCTGGTCTACACAGGGAAATTGACCAAAGTAACTATTGCAGAATAGCTCCCCATGTGGATGCTTTATTCCAGATTAATGAGTGTGCTTCCAAAGTGGAGCTCAGAAATAAAAATCACTTTTATTCCAAAACAGAGTGTCCACATGGGAAGTTATTCCAGACTTGCTGTTGTGAAATAGGTTATTTCATGATAGAGATTTTGGTAAATTTCCCTGTGTAGACAAGCCCTTGGGTACTTACATGTTCCCCATCATTGTATATCTGAGCACCTCACAATCTTTAATGTATTTATCCTCACTACACCCTTTTCAGGTGGAGAACATAAGAACGGCCATACTGGGTCAGACCAAAGGTCCATCTAGCCCAGTATCCTGTCTACTGACAGTGGCCAATGCCAGGTGCCCCACAGGGAATGAACAGAACAGATAATCATCAAGGGATCCATTCCCTGTCTCCCAGTCCCAGTTTCTGGCAAACAGAGACACCATTCCTGCCCAACCTGGCTAATAGCCATTGATGGACCTATCCTCCATGAATTTATCTAATTCTTTTTTAAACCCTGTTATAGTCTTGAACTGAACAAATTCACTGAACAAATCCCCCCTCCTAAACATTTGCTAAACTGCCCCCCTCAGCTATTAGGGTGTCTCAACACCAGCACACAGTGTGAGGGATTTTCAAATCTTTCCCTAGTTTCATACACGTTAAGGCAAGAAGAGTTCATTATGATCATCTAGTCTGTCCTGATGCATAACATAGGCTATCAAATTTCACCCAGGAATTCCTGCATCAAGCTCATAGCTTCTGGCTGAGCTAGAGGAGATACAGTCTAGTGAAAGGAAGGGGAGGTTTCACATTGGATATAATTGTCTGATATCCCTCCCATCCAACTCCTAACACACATTCCTACATTAAAGAAGCAAGATCACAAAAAGGGATGTCCGATTTTGCTACCTCCTGAGACTATTGGGTCAGAGATAGATTAATTTTCAGCTCATTTTAGCATCAATCTGGAGCCCTGCATTCTGTTTTTTTAAATTAAATTAATTTTTAAATTAATTTAGTGCTGATGGCAGGTTTATGCCAGACAGCCCCAGAGACTGAGACCCTCCCTTTGTTCATAGAACAGGTATTGCAGAGGAATCAGCAGGGCAACATCCCGCCACTGCCCCAGCAATGTGCTACTGCCCTGATTTGGGGCAACCACTTAAAGGGATGAGAGTATTCAGCCTCCAGGACTGTTCAACTCTTGGCCTCTGACACCATCAATAAAGGCATGATTTTGCTGACTGGCTTTGTAATGCTAACCCAGTCTGGATTGGGAACACCTGCTCACTTCACACAGACCACTGAAGAGGTGTCAGATTCAACTAGTGCACAAAAATAAAAACCCCACATTTATATCCTATTAGTATTACCAATCTCAAAAGCCATCCAATTCACCCAAAATTGTTTTCATTCAAGTGCAAGAATTATGAACACCAATGTATGTATATTAGGTTTAGTAATACTTCTAAAACAAACCTAATTTTGGGGAAGTCGAAATGTTATACTGATTTTTCAAATAATTCAGGTAGCTTCAGCTGTGAAACAATTTTTCCCTGGTTTTGTTTTTAATAACACAGCCTTCACAAAAGCAGACACTAGATTAAAAAGGGATTCCAGTGAAGCAAGAACCTTTGAATGATAGAATTTTAACCCTTTGACTAATAAATACAGTATTTTAGCTGCATTTAACCATACCTGTGGTTGCGGCACTGCTGGCCATATTCTCCAGAGTTATTTTTAGACTGCTCACCTTAGCTCCCTAATCTTTCCTTGTTCACCAGGAAATGTTTTGGACTTGGTTGACAAGATGGTAATATAGGAAATGATCTCATGATTAGGTGAGAATGTTATCCCAGTGTATGCTGGGAGTTGTAGTTCAATTTAAAACAGGCTCTTACAAAAGTAACCGACCTGATACACAGCAGTTGCACAATTAGCATGACCCAACCTTCAAAACAGAAAACCTGGACTGCTCTAAATATAGTCAAAGGGGGTGAGGTGTGGAAGGATTTGGTAGTTAAGAGAAGCCTTCAAGCAGGACAAGAGGATTTGGCAGTAATTGTCTCCAATCAGAGCAGGCTGTTCATAACATTCTCCCACTCTCCTGACCCTCCACTGCTTTTCAGCAGCATTTCCCCCATGCTTTAGATCTTTATTTCTTCCCCCCCAATATCTTTACTCTCCCTCCGGAGATGAATTTTGGTCCCAGCTGCCTTTTTCTAGGACTCTGGCACCTATCAAATGATTTACTGCACGCTCTGACATACAGTAAAACCTTTAACACTTCAGATCCCAGACTCTCACATTGGCACGCTCTGGGCTATGAGCAACCCCAGACTCCAATACATGGCAGAATATATGACAATTCATTAGGGAGACTCTGTGTTGGGAGCCAGTTGCAGATGGGCGTAAGATTCATCTTGGCACCAGCAGTTTTAGTGGGGTGGCAGAGTGCCAGGGAACAGGGGAGGTCAGCCAAATGGCTTGCTGTACTGGAACCAGGGCATAAAATAATTAGCATCATCAACCTCCAAAGTCAGTCTGCCTAGTCACCTTACATACACCCCCATAGGCCATATGTTTTGAAAAGAAACATGCAAGTTTGGCTGTACATTTTCACTGGGAATATACCACATTCTGGCTGAGATGCAAACTGATAAAACTGCCGTGGTAAGGGAGACATGCCCTTCCCAATTCAGAGTTCAGACAAAACAAAGCAACGTTTCAGCCTTAACTGCTTGTTTCCCAAGCTGTCATTCATGGCCACACAGACCTGAAGAAGAACTCTGGGTAGCTCAAAAACTTGTCTATTCCACCCCCAGCAGGTGTACAATAAAAGATATTACCTCATTCACCTTCTCTCTTCCAACAGTATTATTATTTAACTGATAAATTATGGAGTCTCCTTTATGTGATTCTCAGGAAATGAAAAGCACTCTCAATTTATCTTTGTGTATCAATCTACCCTTAGCACTCATACAAAATATAAACTGCCCAACTCAACAGTTGGCTGCAGTTTTATTAGGGTTTTTTTAATACACTACACCTCTACCCTGATATAACGCTGTCCTCGGGAGCCAAAAAATCTTACTGCGTTATAGGTGAAACCACGTTATATCGAACTTGCTTTGATCTGCCGGAGTGTGCAGCCCTGTCTCCCCGGAGCACTGCTTTACCGCGTTATATCCGAATTTGTGTTATAACAGGTCACGTTATATCGGGGTAGAGGTGTATACAAACAAGAAGACGGAAGCGTGAGTAGGTGGTACATGCCAATAGAATACTAAGATTAAAATAAACTCTTCTTTAAGATTTATGGACAGCAGTTAAAACTTTACTAATGTAAACTTTATGCATTAAACAATTTATAATCACTTAGAATTTGTTTGATTATCTACATATTGCTTTCTGTCTTGGAAAAAATATTAGATCTAGCAATTTTCAGAACTCCTATTAAAAAGGTTTGATTCTTGTCCTCCAACATACAGCACATGTATTTCAGAAAAATGAGACATGGTGCTTACTAAATTAGGGCAAAGCATCTTTCAAAGGAACAATTTTATAAGAAACTCATTTGTAGGAGTTCCAACAAATGTGAACTTATTAAAAATATATTAAGACAAATTATGTAAACCTAAAAAATTTGTCGAGCAGTTTAAATTAAGGTAATTATTTTATATTGACACACAAAGAGTATAAAAATATGCACCAAAAGATACCAATCACAAGCCTGTTGCAGGGTTTTAGTGACTTGCACTACTAGCTATTTAAGCTTTGATTTTGTGGTTTATAGTATTGTTGGAAACCCTGGATGAAGTTACAAATTTTGAACGGACTCACTTGTACTATGTAATCCTGCAGGGACAAAAACAAAAAACACACAACCTTGACATCACTTTAGTGATATTTTTTCCACCTACATTAAAATGTGGGATTTTTCCATGGGAAAGACCTATTAAAACTGGGACCTTCTCATGGAAAAATAAGGTTGGGTGGCAACCCTAAATATAAGCATGTAGTTTATATTATCTTAGTTGAGCTTAAAGATAGGAATTGTCACACCAGATCAGAGCAGTTGTCCATTTACACCAGTATCCTGTCTCTGACACTGGCTAGTACTAGAAGCTTCAGAGGAAGAGGTAAGAAACCTCACAATGGAATACCCCTAGGGAAAGTTTTTCTTCCCAACACTGTCAGTTGGGGGCTGGCTTACGCTCTGAAGAATGAGGGTTTATATCCTTTATAATATGTATCCTTTGTAACATAATTCTGGATGTTCTCTGTATTCATCTAAAGGTCTAGAGGTCTACTCCTCTTTTGAATCCTACTAAATTCTTGGCCTAAATGATATTTTGTGACAATGAGTTCCACAAGTTAATTATTCATTATGTAAAAGTTTATCGGTTTTAAAGTTGTGACCCAATTTTATGTCTCCTTGTTCTTGTATAATAAAAAGGAATAATTAGAAAATGTTGATTTACCTTCTCCATAGCATTCATTATTTCATATATCTCTATCTTATACCCCTCCTTATTCATCTCCTCTAAACAGTCCTAGTCTTCTCACTCTCTTCTCATACAGAAAACTCTCCATATCATAAGAATGGCCACACTGGGTCAGACCAAAGGTCCATCAACCCAATATCCTGTTTTCTGATAGTGGCCAATGCCAGGTGCCCCAGAGGGAATGAATAGAACAGATAATCATCAAGTGATCCATTCCCTGTCTCCCATTCCCAGCTTCTGGCAAACAGAGGTTAGGGACACCATCCTTGCCCACCCTGGCTAATAATATAATAATATATCCTATATGAATATATCTAGGTTTTTTTTAACCTTTTTATAGTCTTGGCCTTCACAACATCCACTGGCAAAGAGTTCCACAGGTTGACTGTGCATTGTGTGAAGAAATACGGAAGCTGTTCCCTACCCCTAATCATTTTTGTTTCTGAACCTTTTCCAATTCCAATATATCTTTTTTGAGACGGGGCAACCACATCTGCACACAGTATTCAAGATGTGGGCGTACCATGGATTTATATAGAGGCAATATGATATTTTTTGTCTTACTATCTATCCCTTTCTTAATGATGCTTCTGTTCGCTTTTTTGACTGCTGCTGCACATTCTGTGGATGTTTTCAGAGAACTATCCACAATGATTCCAAGATCTCTTTCTTGAGTGGCAACAGCTAATTTAGAGTAACTATTATCCACATTTTATGGTGAGGGAACTGAGGCGCAGGAAGACTAAGGCTATGTCTACACTATGGGTGCTACTTCTGTGGAGGTTTTCTACAGTGACAGAAGGAGCTTTTCTGTTGCTGTAGTTAATCCACCTCCCACAGCAGTGGTAGCTAGGTTGACAGAAGAATTTTTCTGTTGATCTAGCTGTGCTTATACTGGGGGTTAGGTCGGCAGAGCTATGGCTCTCAGGAGTATGAATTTTTCACACCCTGAGCACCATAGTTCTGCTGACCCAACTTTTAAGTGCAGACCAGGCCTGAGTGACTTGCCCAAGATCACACTGGAAGTCTGTGACAGCATAGCCTTAATCAGTTTAGTCACTTGTCTCTGGCTCCTGCAATTTCTGCTATAGCTTTTTGGAGATGAGCTAAATACAGCATTCCAGGTGAGAACATGCCATTGATTTATATAACAGCATTATAATATTTTGAGTATTATGTTCTATCTTATTCTTATCCTAAGAACTCTTTGCAATGCAATTATTAAGAGGCAAGAACTAAACTACTTTTAAATCAAGATAAAAGGCTATTGGGGGCTTCTCAAACACCTAGGATCTGTGCCAGTCCACTTACAGATTATCAGATTGTGAAAACATGGTTCAAAGAGAGTCAAATAAGATAGTGCTGGGAGGCTCGGCTTCATTGAATGCAGCCCACTGCACTCCATATAACCAGGTACTGCACAATGCGTATCTAGTGAATTGCTAATGACAGTGGCTATTAAGTCACACACAAACTCTGACTGTAGAGAACAGGTTCCTTATAGAGGCTTGTAACTTGACCCAAGCCCGACAGGACCCAACTACAAGTGTCAGGTTTGTGTTGGATATGAAAAGAACTCAACTCTTTCGGGCTTGGGACAATTTCCAGCTACGAGCGAGCTAGGCTGGCACCAGGCTGAAGGGAGAGACGGAAGGATCCCTGTCCCCAGAGCCCAGTGGAGGTGACGGCGGCTGGTTGGAGAAGTTGGCAGTACCAGGCATTCTGGGAGAGCTGCATGGGAAGGGGCCTTTGTAATCCCGAACAGGAGGCCACAGCAGTGCCAGGATGCAGAGAGGAGTATTCCAGGCGTCCACTCTGCACTGCCTTGCAGGTCAGGGTGGGGCACCTGCACACACACGGCAACATGGCAAGAGAGAGACGATGCTGACTTGGCTGGCCTGATGCATGGGCTGGCTGGGCAGGCTCAATGCTTGCCCCCTGCCTGGGCAGAGGCGCTGGAGATGTCCAGAGCCATTGCCAGGTGGCCAAGATCCTGGAGGAGTGCTTCTAGGACTGCCACCCCAGTGCTGCAGGAAGGAGCCCTGATGGAGTATGATGTATCACGTAGTGTCTGCACCCAGCCACTGCTAGAGCCTCCCACAGGATAAGCAGAGTGTGAGGTTGGGGTGAGGGATCCAGGGCTCCTGAGCCCAAAGTCCAGCACAACAGGGATAGGAAGCGATGGGCTGGGTGGAGACAGCATTGTCAGGTAGATGCTTGCAACACTACCCAAACCCAATGGGACCCACCTGACCACAAGTGTCAAATTTGGGTCATTATGAAACAACTCAATGAGCTAGGGTTGGGCTCAGATTTGCTGTGGTCTAGTTGGGCTTTAAAATTAGGCTCTAGCATACTTCTAGCTCCTTAAACATGACAAATAAATCCTTATGGCCTTTATGATCAGCTTCAAGTAGAAACTGAACTAGTTAAAAATGGCCGGGGAAGGGAAAGTAGAGGCTAATTGGAGTACTTTCTATTTAGAAGTAAGGCAAAATACACTACCCTAGATGAGAGATGACCGTAAAGTCTTACAAAAGAGGTGCACTTTAACTAGATAGCCTCTTACTTTAACCGAAAGAATGAATTCTGCCCCAATTACAAAGGCACTGAGGGTACTGACCACAGTCCTGGGACAGCAGACTGTTCAAGTATGGGAAACTGATCTTCTCTAGTTCATCCAGCTTCTCCTTCAGCTTCTTGACTTGACTGTCAGAGCGGCTGATTCTTTGCCTCAACAGCTTCAGCTCTCCATTCTTTTTCTCCACCTGCTCCCGTAGGCAGCATACTTCGTTTTTGCTTTGCCTAGAGGAGAAACAGTATGAATGGAGCGAGTCAATGAGCTTGCAAGCTCCTGAGGCCGAGATGATGACCTCATTGATTGACATGGGATTGGCATCTGTCTCTCCTTTCTGCCCTACCACAGCCTCTGTTGCTGGCTGAGGGGTAAGGTCTGCAGGGGATGCTGACAAACTTTGTGAAGGTTTCTGAGGGGTTGCAGTAAGTGATGAATTAGGGGAGCTTTCTGCTAAGGTCTTATTGTGCCCCATGATACTGCTGCTGCAGCTTGGTTCCACATCTCTCTTTGGCCTTTTCTTCTCAAGTTGCTCTTTGGGGAAAGATGGCTTCTCTCTGGTGTGCTTAGAGGAAAAGCTGTAAGAGTGGAGAGAGCCAATAAATTTGCAAGCCCCAGATACTGGAGGTGTGAAGTCATCAATTGATATACCACTTCTATCTGTTATCCAACTCTCAGTATGGACAGCGCTTTCAGAACAATCATCCACAGATGGTCTTTCTGGCCTTTTCTGGACTCCTGTCTTTGTGACTAAATTATCGACTAACATCCTTCTCAGAGGCCCTTCCAACTGCCCACAGACATTCTCTCCTTGCTCAGACATTGACCCAATTTCAGCTTGCAGAGTCACTTGCTCCATCTCTTTAGTTCCTTGCATTACCATAAAGTCTTGGTCAGAATATGAGGTTCTCTCAACTACCTCACAGCCTCCTTCCCTTGGTTGATCTCCATCCCTCACAGGTATTTGGCTTGCTATTTTAACTCTAGTTTTGACATAATCC